GGGTCCCTGTGGACCCACTTGCCCTTCCCAGACTCCAGCCTGGGGGGCTGGGGGGTCCACCAAAGGGAAGCAGGAAGAGGCTGTGTTAGAAGAGGGTTTGCACTTTACACAGAACTCTCTGGTTGGAGGTAAGGGAGTGGATTGGAGGGGACCAGTGTGGATGTGGGGCTATTGCAGGATCTAGGTAAGGAGTGAGGGAGGCTTGGACAGTGGGGTTGCAGTAGGAGCATGAGGAAGGCGTTCAGAGACTCCCGGCTGTGGAAGGCATGATACAGTGGTGGTTCGGATAGGGACGGGGCAGGAGGGATGGCCACCAAGGATAACTTCTTGGTTTCTGGTTTCCCTAGTTGAATGCTGCTGTTGCCTGCCAGTCTGCTGTTAGGAACCACTGAAGGAGGGCCAGATTTAGGAGAGAGAGGCTAGATCCATCTTGTAGGCAGCTTTGGCTTTCCAGAATGGTTAGATTTCAGGAGCCAAGGCTGAGCTGGTCAGAGCCACGTGGAGGCAGCACAAGGTGGCCCAGTCTTATTTTGCCACCTTCTCCTGGCCACATCCCCTCCCCATCCTAGTCCAAGAGCAGGCGTTTCCCATTCGTCCCTGCTGAGCCTGTCACACCATCTTTATCTTATTAGAGATAATCCAAACAATAACTCGAGACATCTGAGCCTAATCTGTCTTCTCCCAAGCCGTGGAACTACTCTGCATCTTCCTCTGATTTTTTTTGCTGTAAAAATTCTACCCCTTCCTAAGTGTGTGCGTGTTTGCAGCCTCTCCTTTCTCGTTTCCTGCCCAGTAGCCTCAGTGTTTTGAAAGTAATTGTGGAGCCTTTCAGGATGCTCTGAACCAACAAAATCAGGCAAATAAACTCCATCGTACAACCAGGTCAGGCTGCAGGGCAGGGACTGCCTGCTACGTGGTGTAGAAGGAAAGAGTTCTGGGTTAATAAGTGACATCTATCACGGGCTCCGAGGGGAATGTGGCCCCCTGTGAGCCAAGTCAGTTGGACTCCTGCCTCAATCTGCCCAATTCTAGGAATAATCTTTTAAATCTATATACATATATTTACAGAATATTATTATCTATATCATATATTTACAGAATATCAAATTATCTCTCAGTGTGTTGTTTGGATATTTCTGAATTTTTTAAATATAAAATATTTGGAAGCAAGAACCAATTGGTCTGCTTTTAATTCTGGGTTTCCTACTCTGCACTTGGAGGCCCAGAAGGGGTTTAATAAATTCTTTTGCTCTGTTTCTCACCACTCTCTTCCCCTTCCACCTGTCCCTACGCCTCTACCACCCATGCTCTGGCAGTATCTCTGCCAATGAGCAGGAGGGACTTCACTTTAGCTTTTGTGTGTGCAGTTTCCAAAAGTGCTTTGGAGTAAGAGTCAGGAAGAGGAAAATATGACTTTATTGGTGGGCTGGGTGTTATTGTCTGGGCCCACCCACTCAGAACACTCTTACCAGTAACAAGAAGCTGTTTTGATGACCTTCAGGCAAAGCCCCTGTCTGAATTCTTGCAAGAAGCCTGATTACGAGGTCATTGATTGACTCTCTGTGAGATGAGCAGCAGGAGATTTGAACATAAGGCAGGGTGTGATCTTATGTGGTGCAGTCTGGTAGAACTGAGCTCAATAACTTTTGGATTTATAAAAGACTACATTTAATTTTTAACAGATTATATACAAGATACTGAGTGACATTAAACACAGAGTTAAATCAACCATAACCCATTTAAAGCAGCCTTGCAGATAAATGTCTCAAATCTACTAGCCTGCCAACTATATTCCTTATCTACACACATCTGTCAATTATTTCCACAACACTAAGCCTTTCTAATGATTCTCTCAGAGTTACTTTCTTCTCCCAAAGCCTGAAATACAGGTGACATCTACTGTCTGTGAACTAGATGGAATTGCCAAGGGAAAACCCCTAGATTTGTGATTGTGAAGGTTTGGTATTCTCAGAGCCTTCTGGGACTCATAAAATTTTTGTACTGTTCCCCATTTGGAAAATAAATGACAAAAGCATATACAGATATATTTAGCTCAATCTATTGTGTTAAGTTGATTTCATTTACGTCATTGCACTTTAAAAATCTTCACTAAAATGTACACTCACTGTTTATATTTCATATGAAAATTAAGGATTATTAAAACTTGGTTAAAAACACAAACTACACAAGTTAAGGAAAAAGTAAACCTTAATTATGTTCAAAAGTAAAAATTAATAAGAACATAGTTGTTCTGGAAGTGTAAGAAATTTTAATAGTCACAATATCTTTGACATGGCAACATAGATGCCATCTTTAACATCCAGCCAGTTTCTGTACCTTTGATTTTGATGCCTTAACATGTAAAAGAGGAGTCATTGATGTGGGTATCAGAAACAAAAGTCACAACTCCTGTAGCTCACATTGCTGGAGAAATGTAGATGGTGTCATGAAAAGCAGGGATTATAAGATCTTCCCATTGGATTCATGTCCCGTGATATCTTTGTTGCTGGGCAATTTCTTTTATGTATATTAATGATCTACTGCCCCCTAATTTAGTGAGTTAAAAAGCAAATATTTATTATCTCAGCAATGGTTTAGCAAGGCATATTTAGTTCAGAGTTTTTCCTGATTGTTATTGCTGTCAAGATGTTGGTTAAGGTACCAGTCATGGGCAGGATCCCCTTCCAAGATGGTGTCCTCACGTGGCTTGTGGCAGGAAGTTCCATTCCTTGCCACAGACATGACAACTGGCTTTCCCCAGAGTGAAACATCCCAGAGAGAGAAGAGCAAGAAAACAACCAGAGTGTCGTTCATATCCTAATCTCTAATGTCACACACTATTATGCTCCAGTCAATGGAAGCAAGTCATTGGGTCCAGTTCCCAGGGGAGACGAATTGAAGTCCACTTCATGAAGGAAGGAGTGTCAAATAATTTGTAGACATGCCTTAAAACACCACAATGTTTTATCAAATAAATAATTGTGAGTTCACGTTCCAGTTTTAAGGTGGTTTGAGCAAAGTAAATTGAAGAGTCCATCTGTATTCCCAGGTACTGCAGACATGTGTCCACAGACAAAATGATAAGGCTTTGTCTCTCTCTCTCTCTCCCCAGATTGTCCTCCCGATGTTGTTTCTTTAGAGAGGCCTTTTTGAAATTTGTTTCTATGTGTATACTTGTATTTTCACATGCATTATAAACATCTCACAATGGTTTTGACTGTATGGAGTCTGTGCTTGTACTACTGTGTCAGTGTTCTGGCACAGTGTTTGGCACACAGGATCTTCAAAGAAAAATATATATTAGATGAATGAATGAATGAGGACTCCTGGGCGAGCAGGCTAAACAGGCACCAGCAGCCTAGTAACTTCAAGGGCAGCTCCCAAAAGATTGGAGCATGGGTAAGGTTGAGAATTCCATTCCAAGGCGGTGACCACTCCACCCTCTTCAGTGTTCCCTGTCCAGTAGGAAGAGCCCATGGGTCTCAAGTGTACATTTTCATTGAAAGGCAAAACTGGGAGCAGATAGGGTAACTGGCTTTTAGTGAAGACAGAGGCAGAGTCCTATCTTCCTTGGGTGGAGGGGGATGCAAGGGAGGGTGTCCCACAGATTTTGGTGTGTAACAAAGAGCCACAAACCTTGGTAGCACAAAACAGGTAGTGTTTGTTGCCATGCACATGCGGTTAGCAGTCATCTAGGTGGCTCTGCTGATTCCAGCTGAGCTAGCTCATGTGTCTGGAGTCAGCTGGTGTTGGCTGGCCCATGCTGGCCTTGGCCATGATGACCCGGGAGACTAGTCTTTGCTCCACATCTCTCAGATTAGAGCAGGTCTGTTTGGGTGTGATCTTGGAGAGAGGGCAGAGGCACATGAGAGATAAGCTTGACCTTTCAGGTGCCCTCAGACCTGTTGAACCAGTGTCCCTCAGCCACAGGTGCCAGGCCTGAGCTTGTGTTGAAGTGGGAGGCCCAGGCAGATGTGAAGAATCGGGCATTTTTCTTTTTATTCTATTTTGGGAAGGCCAAGAGATCGATGACTGTTCCTCCTTTAAGATAGGGGTCTACAAATTTTTCTGAAAAGGGACAGATAGAAGATGTTTCAGGATTTGCAGGTTCTTAGGTCCTGGCCCATATTCTCCTTCTGCTTCTCTCTCCTATTCTTCTTCTTTTCCTCTTTTAAAAATCCATTAGAAATGGAAAAGTCAATCTTAGTTTTCTGATTGTACAAAAACAGGGTGCAGGCTGGATTTGGTCCATGAGCCATAGATTGTCAACCTCTGGGTTAAGAAGAAAGAAAATCTTCCTTCTCCCACTAACATCCTCTGGACACCTGTCATTTAATCGATCCTCACAACAGCCTGGTTGTCGAGGGAGGTCATTACTCACTGCGCCCCTTCCACACTGGGAGTGACGGGAAGGGATTTGATGCCTCTGATCCAGGTTCAGGGTTGTGCTCGCTTCCCCTGCTGAGGACACTGCTTGCATCTGGGGCCCTATTTGCTTCCAGAGCACTGCCAGAGCACCTTGCTTCTGCCCCACCCTCCCCAGAGCCCCACTCAGCAGGTGGGGGGAGCCACCTCATAATGTTAATTCTACTTCCACCCTGGCTGATTGGAGGCTGATTTCAAAGGGCCCAAGGAGAGGCACCCGATTTCCAGTCTCCTCCCAGCCTCCACCTCATTAACCTGGCCGCCCTTCACGCAGGCCTTAACTCTGCCTTCCAGAAGGCCTGCTCCTCCCTAAGAACCTCTTAGACGTGGTGTTTAAAAGGATGTGTTTAAAATGAGTCTTCGTGGTGATTACGACATTTGTTCCCTAACCAAAATGTAGTCAGTAGGCACATGTTACACCCTTATACTTAAGTCCACAAACACAGCTTTTACTCGTTTTCCTTGTCCAGCCCACAGCCCAAACAATGTATAGAAAAACCAGAATAGAATGTGAGCTGGTCTCCTTATCTGGGCCAGGTGCCACTTGCCCACTGGGAGGAGGCATCCAATCTATCTTCACAAACAGGAAACAGGGTGGCTGGTGTAGGTCCGCGTAGGTGATGCCGATGGATGCTCAACAGGCCTCTGGAAAAGGAAAATGAAGTGAGTCAGCCCCTGAGCTGGCCAGGCACTGGCCTGCGAGCCACCAGAGAGCTTGCTCATTAATCCAGAATTGGCTAAGACGTGCTTGCTCTAGAAGTTGACTTATTTTAGAACTTTGTCCTATGGTGGTCTTTTCTGGACCTACCCAAAGTATAATTCATGCGTATTTGTTATGTATACTAGCATATTATAGATAGGATACCGATGTTTTGGGGTCGAATATATGTATGGCTAACAAATTGGAAGACAGTTCAAAACATTAAATGAATTTTTTCCTACCGAACTTCTCAGAGCCTTCAATATGCAACTGAGCGTGTTGAATTTCCAGGAAGGGGTTGGAGTGGGCAGTGGTTTCTAAGTCGCCTTGACCTGGGAATACCTCTGTTCACAGACTGTATGATGAGGTAATATTTCCAGAACAAACTTGGGCAATCACTCCTGTGAGTGGAGCGTCACCAACACTATGCCAGAGGAGAGCTCTGGTGACACTCACCAGGGAAACCTGATGGTGTATAAGCTAAGTGGATGTTAGCCTGTTTTTTCTTTTTTCCCCCAAATAATCAGATCATTCCCAGTGTTTTAAGAAACAGTATTTTAACAAAAATCAGGGCTGGTGATGGTAGGGATTAAGAGTCTGAACCGTGGGTTCAACTTAATCATTTCTAGGATTCGGAGACTCCAGGCCTGTTGTAGAACTGTGAAAGCAGCTGGAGAGAACAGCTGTGGGAACATCACAGCTTCTCCTCCTGCTTCGAGGCTCGCTGTCCTCTCTGCCCTTGTGTGAGTTCTCACTGATGGCGTTGCTGACAGGATACATTTTAATTGTTTGCTGTCTGACTTCCCAGGATAAAGAGCCCCATAGATGGTGATTACCCACGATGACGACTATTCAGAAAACTATTCTGGTCTCTGAAACTACAAAATGGGGCTCTCCCTCTATGGTGGCCAATCTTTTCTCCTTAAGGAGCATCAGGAACACTGTTGCCAATGCTGTGCTCCCCGACGCTGGGCATCTCCAGCCTGCTATCCTGAGGGCAGCCCCAGCTCCTGTGGCCCACAGGAAACTCGTTATCTCCGCCATGAGTCAGCTCCTCTTCCTGTTTATATTTTAACTCATCCCAGCTAACGACATTACCATCCCCTCTGTCTCCAAAGTTAGAAAGTTCTGAGTAATTTTATTTCTTCCTCTTCCTTGCCTTTAGTGAGCTACTAAATCCTGTTGACACTACCCTTGAATCATTTCTCAACTCCACATCTCGCCTTCATTCTCCTGGGCATCGCCCTAGTTCAAGGTCCCTTCGTCATGATCTCTTTCCCATCCAATAACCTAGATATCTATGCTGTTACTGAGCCCTGTGACATTTCTGAGCACTGAGAACATTTTCCTTTTTTTCCCCTGAGTGTTTTATATGCATAATCGTTCAGTCTTTCAGTACCAAGTGACAGCATCCTACCCCAAACTAGCGTAAGTGGCAAAGGACGGTGGTGTGTGAGGCTGTACAACTGGGCAACCTGGAGTTGAGATTCAGCTTCTGTAACAGCTGGACCTTCAAACTAAATTTGTCACAGGAGAATGTCTTATGTGTTCCCTCTCAGCAGTCCTCCTCTTCATCGCCTCCACCCTGACGTGAGGCTGTAGCCAGGATCCAGTGGCAGCCCCAGACTCGCAGCTCCCCCACCCCCCAGCAGTGGCAGTGGAAGGGCTCCCTCTTCTCGGCACATTTAATACACTTCCTAGGACTGAATCCCATTGACTCCCATCAGGTCACATGCCCATCCTTCAACCAATGCTGTGAACAGGGGACAGGATGCTTGATTAGACAAGCTGCAATCACGTGTCCTCGTCTGAGGTCAGGTGAGTGGGACTGTCAGTTCTACCAGCCACGTGGACGCAGACCACAAAATGGTTATAATTTCTCAGGGAAATTGGAACACTGCTATTGGAAGCAGGGACAGAATGTGGGGCTAAAATGAGCAAGCGATCCCCACTCGTGGCACTCAGGTGATGTGTCACCACATCCCATCCCTCTTCCCCCCTGGTCTTCTAGCTCTGAAAGCTAAGAACCACATTCCCCGTCCTCTCCAGGTAACTTAGGCCCCTCGTGTGCTGTAAGTGTCCCCTGGCCGCCTTCACCCTGCTGTCCTCCTGCCTGCAATGCCGTCTGGCTCTCATAAGCTCACACACCTTCCACCTCGGAAGGCCTTCTTAGCTTGTCCCTGCTTGAGCCCAAACTGGTCCCATGGCACACTGCCTGAACTTCCCAGGCCCTACTATGAGATATCTAATCATAGGACTGGCTTTGTATGACCTGTCTTCCCCTCCCGGATGCTGACAGCGTGACAGCAGGGCCTCTGTCCTGTTCATTTCAGCGCTCCCTGGAGCCCAAGTGCGTGGCTTTTACACAGTGCAAGCACCATAAATACTTATTGATCCATCCTGGACTTTCCATCCATTAAGAGAAGTTAATGGAGGCTTTCTTATTCCCATCAGATGACCAATTTTGGATTGTCATATCAGTCAAATTTCTAAGAATCAATAGTCTTCCCTTGGACTTTTTTTCCCCCTCACTCTTAAAAATAAATTTATTGTATTCTTCCCCTCTGATTTTAGTGGTATGCAAGCATTTTATATTTGCAAATATGGAAGTAAAAGATGGTGAAAAGGTCCTTCCTGGCTCAGGACTGTATCATGTGCCATTTCCTCTGCCTGGAGCCTGTGGTCCCCATGTGGTCAGCTTACCTGATTCCTCAGGCACATCTTACTAAGAACCTCACCTTCACCTCCAGATCTTTCTGTGCCTCTCTGTTCTCTTTCTAGCACTTATTCTAATAAAAATATCCTCTTTGCTTTTTTGTGTGTTTGTCTCTCCTGACTACATATTAGCCCTGTGCATGCCTAGGTGTGTACGTTGGTATGTGCTACATATACTCTGTGTCTTATTCTACAAACACACAGCAGCAAAAGGTCACAGGGCAAACTCTGGGGCTGCCCCACATTCTGTCAGCTCACTGTCATGTTCTTTCCTCACCAGGCCTTCTGGTGAGGAAACTACAAACCCAGAGCTCTGGTGTGCTAGAAAACTTGAGCTCCAAGGATCAGCCCTCACCCAGGGATAAATGGGGATGGAGGATAGAGGCCCAGCTCCCTGGCCCTGCAGCATCTGTCTCCTGGGTGTGTTCCACACCAGTTCTGAGTCCTCAGGGGACAGGGCTCAGGTTCCCACAGAGGTAGAAAGACTGATGAGCTGCACGGGCTTCCTCTGAGTGTCACTCTTCCCAGAATCCCCTTCCAAACAGGCCACCTGAACTCAGAGATGCATCCTGAGGGTCTGCTACCTAAGGCATGGAAACCTGCAGACACAGCTTTGGAAACTCTCAGAAAATGGCCTTTGCTTCCTCTCAACTCCCAGCCCATAGATTTTTGGCTTTTGGCTCTCCCTTCCTCTCTGCCTCCTGCATGTGCTGGGTGTGTGTGTGTGTGTGTGTGTGTGTGTGTGCAAGTATTTCTTCCCCCTTCAGAAGTCACTGGGACAAAGCCCCATCAGTGATGTGGGGACCCAGAATGTAGGCCTAGCAGACATCATCAGTGGCTTCAGAGATTCTGGAGCCTTCCGTGTGCATCTGCATTCAGCTTCGCATTTGTCTGTCCAATCTATCTTCCAAGGCGTTTGGCTTTCTCCTTTCTCCTTCATCCCCAGGCCCCCCACCCGCCCTTGCAGCACACACAATGGAAACCACATCATGCTGCCGCCTCAGCCCATAAGACCTTTGAGAAAGGCAGGCAGCAGGGCTCAAATGTTTCTAAACTTCAAAACTAAAACTGCAAGTTGCAGACAAATGTGGGGGAAGGGCTGGAGGCAATCCCCAGGCCATTTCAGGCCCTGCACAGCGCAGGCCCCCAGCACGGCTCCAACGCCTTGGTTTGGGCATCTGTCTTTCTGAATTCAGGTCTGAATTATAGATGTTACTGAATGAAACATTAAGGCTCCATCCACTGAGACTGCCCTGGCTCTCTTGTCTGTTAACTTTCTCACAGTGCCGTTCAGTTTATCTGAGCATTTCTTCCAGATCTCAGGGAGGCTCCTCATTCACTTGTTCTTTCACTGGTGCACATCAACATCAACGGTGACGGCAAGGCCCGGGACTACAAAAGGCTGCTAAAGATTTCAAAATCTAAAGATGATAGACAAGCTAATTAATCATGCCAGTGTCTTGCAGTTATGCTGTCTCTCTGCCTAGGAGCATGTGCTACAGGCCCAGGCACACCTGGGTCCGTGTCCTGACCTGGCAGATCCAGGGAGGTCTTCCAGAGGAGGAAGCAGGGCTCAGTCATCAAGACCGGAAGACATGGAGTCAGATAGCCCCGCTTGTTAGAAGTCTGCTTTGTACTAAGCTGACTGACTCCTTGCCTCCCTGAGCCTTAGTTTTCTGATCTGCTAAATGGCTAGAAAAACCCCTACATCACCGGTTGTGTTAAATAAAGAGGAGAATGTGTGCACTGCACTTCAGCAGATGTGACAGCACATGATAACTTCCTGAGTGAGTGTCAATTGTAGCAATTAAACCAAGCCCTGGATATCAAGAGATGCTGAGCACGGACTGGGGAGGTGGGCGTCAATTTGCTGGAGGAGGCGATGTCTCCTTGCTGCATCCCGAGGAAGGTGAATGACAGAGCATGGCTGCCGGACAGGCAAATAAATGGTTTCCTCTTTCTATTCTTTGGGTGCCAGTGAGACCCGCCATGTACCTATGTCAAAACCTGCAATTTATCAAGAATAAAGCCAGAGATAGTAACAATCTTGCTGGCCACAAAATCAGCAGGATCCAGGCAAAATAGATTGCTTCTGGGACCGTTGTTTCATGATGGGTTTTCAGTTATGTATCACGAGGCACAACTGTGCTCCTCCAGGTCCCATCGAGCAGGTGGGATGCCCAGTGTGTTTGTCGTTAAGATTTGATTTCCTCCCTCCTTCTCTCCAGCAAAGGGATGTTCAGAAATATAACAATTAGAATTCAGCATGCTAATACAATGTCTCATTAGCAGAGCCAGGCAGTCGCCTCCAGTGACTCATGTGCAAAGCGGCACGGGTTCCCGGAAATTAGCTCGGCTTCCCGCCGTCCCCATCTGAATCTTTCCTCAACTACTTTTTGATTGCGAGGAGCCAAGCTCATTTCAGCAGTGGGAATTTCACTGGGCTGCGTGATCCCTAAACTCATTCAAGAATTAATACATTTTCCTTTCCTTTATTATTATTTTTAGGAACATATTTGACAATACACGCCCTTTTCTTCCTTGCAAATATTTCATTCAAACGAAGTCCTCCAGCTTTCAAATTTTAAAGACTTAAAAGAAATCAACTGTGGTCCAGGAGGATTCACGGGCTTTGCACCTGTCATCCTTGCATGATGCTGGAGAGGAGACTCCCTCACGGTGCGTCCCCTTTTCCATCCGCTCCGGGTTCTCTTCTGCCTGAAGTCTGGTGGTGCAAGGAGGGTGCTGCTGTTCCTTCAACAGGCTTGAGCACCTAGGTGCTGGCTGCTGGCTTCAGTGGTGTTCCCATTTGGGAGCTGCCCCTCCTTCCTCCCCTCCTCTGTGCCCATCCTTCCCTCCCTCCCTCCCTCCCTTCTTTCTTCTCCTCCTTCCCTTTCACAGGATTTATTAACTCCTGTTCTACACCAGGCACTATGCAAGGCACCAGAGACACATTGAAGAACAGGGGGAAGCGGACTTTCACCCTGATGGGGTTAACGAGATAGAAGTGCTTCCCAGCAAGACTTTGAGGAAATAGTCATGTATAATAGGGAGTCATGGTGTGAGCGTGTGTGGCGGGGGAGGGGAGGGGTGACATGTGGCCAGGAGGAAGGGACAAAGAAGAGCCAGCCCTAAAGCACCGGGCAGAGCAGAGGTTCCTGGGCTGCCCAGCAGGGAGCAGGGAGAGGGGCTGAGGGGGAGCAGGGAGTGGGGCCGGACCCCACTCGTGGCTTGGGAGAATGGAGGACTTTTTTATTTAAGATGGTTCTCAGAGAGGTATATGTGCTGTCCAAGTTTTATGAATCTAAAATCTTTTTCCTAGTATTTTGGTTCAAATCTCTCTTCCAAAGTCATAAAATTACTTAGCATTCCTCTCTACATTTCATGAGCTCCCCTCTTATCAAAAGGAAAAAAGCATTTAAATGGGGACTATTGTGGAAACCTCAAGTGGAAGACGGAGGAGGAGGGTACAGGCCACATTTCAATGGGAAAATACCTCATGTCACAGGCAGTTACTTTGCTTCCCAAAGCATAAACTCAGAGGCGCAGCAATTTAGTCAAGTAGTTGATCTGGTTGTGCTCAGCTTAAGGAATTAACACCAATTCCGTGCCCGGTTTTTGTTTTCCATTAACTGAACGAAAGCCATTACTAACGAGGCTATGGATACAGAGCCAGCGGCTAATTTTTTTGGGAGATTTCAATTGAAGAAACAGGTTTTAAATATTTGTAGGAAATAAGGTAGATATGATTTTCAATAGGCTTGACATTAGGTGTGATAGAGGCACTGACAATCAGGGTGGACAGTGGCGTGTTGGTGCCACCAGGACATGGGGAAGGCATAAGATGTGTCATCGAAACATGGGGTGATGGAGGGACACATGCCCTTTGCATAGGGTTCATCTACGGACACAATCTTTCCCCTAATTTTATTTATTTTTTTTTGGTACTGGGGATTGAAAATAGGGGTGCTTGACCACTGAGCCACATCCCCAGCCCTTTTTACTTTTATTTATTTTATTTATTTTTTTAATTTCAGACAAGGTCTTGCTGAGTTGCGTAGGGCTTCACTAAGTTGCTGAGGCTGGCTTTGAATTTGTGATCCTCCTGCCTCAGCCTCCTGAGCCACTGGGATTACAGGCATGTATCACCCTGCTCCCCTTACATTAAAGAAACGGAAAGGAGAGAGATCTTCACAGAAGCCAGGGCCTGTGCTGGATGACAGAGGGCTGACCAGGCCAGATGCGGAGGGCATGTGGCTCCTGATGGCAGGATTCGCTCCACAGTGATTTCTGTGACACCATCAACCTTTTCCAGTTTGATGTGTCTCTTTCCATGTAATTAGTACAAAGTAGGTACTCACTGAACATCTGTGAAGAAGATCTGGATCTCAACCATAGAACAGCCTCTGGGGTTACCATCTTTATGTCATTCAAGATTCTTTTGGTTAGAGAATAGAAATTCTCCGAAATTTACTCAAAGAAGAAAAGTTTAGGTGTTAGGAAAAGACCGAGCTTTTGTAACAAACAGACTTCCAAATCCTGCAAGACAGACTTTATTTGTTTTGGCCCCTGGATGAGCAGTACCCCCGGGCAGGCTGGCTGTGTCCTACGTAGTCATTCTCTCTTGTTCCCTCCAACTGCTGCTCAGACACGCTCTGGGAGCCATCTCTAGTGTTGCGGTTGGCTTTCCTCTAGTCTGTTTGCAGAGCACAGGCAGGAGCCAGTGGACGGCCTCTCAAGCTGGGGTGACGTGGATGCTGCACGGAACACTGCTCACAGCCCATCTACACCCCCTTGCTCATAGGGCTGCCCAGCTGTGTGGGGGCTAGGAGTGCAGCTGGCTAACTTGGACCCATGGGTACTTAGTCATAGATTCAAATCCCGCTTACACATGAGAGAGAAGCTGAACAACCAGGCGTCAGAGTGCAGAGCTGAGGGGTTCTGCTGGGGGCTCTCCCACGTTCTCCTTTTGCAGAAACTCTATTCTCTCTGGTCTCATGACAGCTTCTTCTATCTCCTGTTGATGTGGCCCCCAATGGCAGCTCAACTGTCTTGTACTTGGGGGTCTCAAAGCTGGCTAGCGTCTTCTAGCTCTGTCTCTTGGTTCACATTGCCCAAAGAGAGGATCTGATTGGCCTAGGTCCAGGTAGTGAAGGCCCAGCACACTAAGCAGGAGCACTCTGAAGGGTGGGGCCGCAGCCAGCTGTTCAGGCTCCTCCAGCCACTGGAGCCTGGCAGGCGGAGGAGAGGTTCATTTTCTGAGCTATCCTTCCCCAAACTGACCCCACACAGCTTAAGCAGCCTGCGGATTAGGGCAGCACAGGAGCGGGTACTGTGTAACTGACCAGAATCTGAAAAACTTCCGGGGCTCTCTTGCGAATTGATAACTCATTTCTCAGTCTTTTAAAATTTGGTGACTATGAGGTGTCCTGAATGATGGATTCATAGAGTAGAGAGACTGAGAAGTGGAGGCCAATTCAATAGTAAGATTTGGAGAGAGCTCCCAAGTACCTCCCTAGCTCTCTGGCCTCATTCCCTGGAATGAATGTGAAGGGCGGGACAGAGGATGCAAGCCCCAGTTCTGTCTCGCTGGTGGTGAATGAGGGTGAGATTTTGAATATGTCCTTAGCAGCTCTCAAAAGCTGATTAGCAGGACAAGTCCAGTCATCTCCCTCTTACCATGAACATGGTCATCAAAAGCAATTTTAATCCTATGAACCAAGAAAGAGATGAAAATTCTGGGCTGAACTTGTAGTTTTTTCTGGTTTGTGTTTTATGCCGCAGGAACAAGTTTTTAAAATTGTTGAAAACAAATCCAATTTTATGTCTTATTTAAGGCAACAGATATGAAGCAATCTGTTGACAAAAGTCGACGCGACGTCTCAGGCAGGGCCTGGAGAGAGCTTGCTGGGCGTGCTCAGGCTCCCTCGTGTGCCTGCTGCCCCACCTGGATGCGTGGCTGGTGCTGATAGTCACTTTGTGAGGCTGTGGAGAAGAATAAATGAGGTGATCCCTGCCAAGACTCGGGGGCTGACTGGCACGAGGCAAGTGTTTGATTAATTTGGTGCATCAGGGCATGAACGTTGTTGGAGGAATTTAGGATGGAGCAGTGCAGAGAAGGGACAGGGTTGACGTCATGGGAGCTCTTCACCTTAGGCTCCAGGGTGAGGTTGGACAACCCATGAAGTGCCATCCCATGCCAGCACTGCCTTCTGGGCTTGGCAACACCTGGGCAGGATAGGCTGAGAAAGACAGCCTTAAAAAGCCTATGTACTCTTTAAATATATATTCACATACTTTATATATAAGTATTTTTTATAAACTACATACATAGTATTTATATTCACATGTAGAATCAACCAGTCTCATTCCAAGCATGGGTGAAAGAACAGCTCGATCTGGTGTAACTTGTACATTGTAACCTGCTTTTTAACTTTTCTAACTCAATGTTAAAAAAACAACAGCAACTGGTGTAAGCAGGGTGGAGGAAGACCCCAGCCTCCAGTCCCTTCCTGTGGGCTCCAGTATTATGGCACCTTGCACTGAGGGTCTGGGGATTTCAGATTCCACTGAACAACAGTGGAGGGCTGTAATACTGCGGTTGAGAATTCCAGGCCCTCCCTCCTTTCCACCGGACAAAGAAGTGAGGCCGAGACCCCGAGGGCCCCTCCTGGGAAAGTCAGGACCGTACCCAGCCTGCGGTCAATTTAGACACCCAGGACAGACCCTCAGGTGGCCGTACACAGGTGATGCTCTCAGCCCATTTAGCAGTTGGAGAAAATGAGGCTTAAAGAAGTAAAATCACTTGCTCCATGTCACACAGCTGTCAGCAGTGGTGCTGGACCTGAAGCCCGCTGGTCTTTATCTGGAGGCCCCAGCCTTACCCACTAGACTCTCCTGCCTCCCTGTCTCACTCTCCAGACTTCCCTCGGGAAACTGATATCATCAGGTTATTCTATCTGACCATGTTTCTAAATCTTAATATTACCATATTTTTAAAGATTGAACAGCATGAAAAGTATCCAGTACCTTCTCCTCTATGGAATGCTCTTCTTCTATAGTGTTACGTCAGGATTTAACATGACCTTGAAGAAGATATCAACCCTTCTGTAGCAAAATGGCCAATCTTCTTCTCCTCCTCCTCCTCCTCCTCCTCCTCCTTCTTCTTCTTCTTCTTCTTCTTCTTCTTCTTCTTCTAATTAAAGGGTATAATTTAGAAAGAGACTAAATTATAGAATAAATTATAGAATACATTTTATTTATTACTTTTAAACACATACCTTAACAAAAATTATGTAAGAATGCTCCCTCCTGGGACTCACTTGGAAGATTTGTTATTAGCATTAATAGTACTTACATGTAAATGAAAGGGAGCTTAATATGAGCACCTTGCTTGTTTCTCTCTTTTCTAACAAGTCCTGCCCAATACTCCGGGAGAGTGGCTTAATTATCTCTGGCCAGGCCTACCGTGATGGCCTCCAAGCTCCGTACCCTGTGCCTCGCCCACCATGGCTTCCCCACGCACCTGTCAAATGGCTTCCAATAAAACTTAGCCTTAAAGTACAGCATGGTCCACACTCCCCATCCCTTCCCCTTGTGCCCCTGAAGCTCCAGCTCGGGTGGCTGCCCCCGGGCCCTCACATTCTGGGCTCTCTGCTTCCACAGGTACCGCTGGTGCTGGGTCTGTGCACCCTTCAGGAAGTCTTGCTGGGTTCTAGTTCGCACTGCATCAGTTTCTCTTGTGAGCCATGTCCCCCCACCAGGTGTGGCCCATCTCTGGGGGCTACCATCACTTCCAGCGACATGTGAGTCAGGTGTTGACTTGTCCTCTCGACAAGACTTCAAGCTCCACGAGGACAGCCCTGAGCCTTACTCAGATTCCCTGCCACCTGGATACCCAGCAAATGCTTACGGAGGGACAAGAGTCATGGGAGGGTGTATGTGTGTATGCCTGTGCACGTGTCTAAAAGGCAAGAAAATGAGTCCCCAGAAGGAATAGCAACTCTGTCATTGCCCCTTGATTTAGGGTCCCTGTGCCACCACAGAAGAACCTATAAATCTATAAATCCACTGAATAGACAGGCAGATTCTCCATCCTGGCTAAGACCTGTCAGATGGTGTGGGTCTGAGGCTCTGCATCTTGAACATGTGCTCCAGTGCATCTAGAAAGCACTGCCCAGGTCTGAAGTGTCTACGAGTTCCAGTGTCATGCAGCCCAGGACAGCACCTCTGCCACCTCTCGGGACTTGATCATTGCCTTCCTCAAGCAGGTTGGGTGGCCTTCCCCTGCACTTCCTCTGTCACAATCCAGGGAATGTTTCTGGCTGGCAGTGGAAGAGTGGTCAAGAGCTTGTTCTCTGAGAGAGCAGAAATGTGACAAGGTGAGCCCCAGTGTTAGTCTGAGGTCCTCCTCTTACTACATTTTGGGATTTGCTGAGTCTCCATTAAAAAATCAACAGATATGCCCATAGACAGATATGGCACAAGGTGGTGTGGACTTTAAATACTAGAAAACCTAGTTCACATTTCACTGAGGTCCCGCACTGCTCTGTGACCTTGGGCGAATTCCTTAGGCTTTTTAGGGCTTGTGCAGCTGCGATGAGGGGAGAGAACAGTTTCTGTTGCAGAGGGATATTATGGGAATCAAATGAGATCAGACATTGATTAACTGGGGGCCAAGGAAGACTGAGGGCTCTCTAGATGTTCCCCGGGATGGTTATTATCAGCTTCATCAGTGTTCAGATGGCACCCTGATTTTCTGTGTGATTAGAGTCTGCCAACCCATCTCTGTGCCCAGGCTTAGAGCCCAGGGCTCAGAAGAACCAGGCTGTGCTCAATAAATATCCTCTTGAACGAGAAACAGACTGACCACAGTGTGATCAAGATGTAGACCTGGGGGCAGACTTCTGCAGCAGCCAGGTTGTGACTGTCTTGAGCCAGGGGACACTGCTCTGGCATCTGTTCAAACCCAGGGGGGCATTCCTGCCCACGTCGTTATGCCTGGATGACAGAGCCCTGATTGTCCCTGTCCCTCCTTGGGGACTTGAACAAGACATGAGTCCCGGAGCCTGCATCATGCTAGGGCCCCCTCTGCCTGTGGCAGTAGACAAAGAAAAGCCGTCTTCATCGCGGGCTGAGCTGGAAAGGAGCTTTGGGTGGGTGGAGTCTGGGCTGATCAAAAAGAACTTGGCAAATCCACAACTTGCTTACCCGGCAACAGCAAAGCCCTCCAGAAATCTGTGCAGGCAACTAATGATTTTAAAACTCCTGGTAACCCCCTCAACACCCACTCTCCCTGCCAAATGGTTGAGAGTAGAGGCCAGCTGGGTGTCTGCTTATTTACATAATTAATCTAGTATGAAGTCTTTATATGTCCCTCCTCAGCCTTCTCTTTTCCAGGATAAATAATCCCCAATTCCTCCATCCATAAGCCCCAATTTTACAACCTTTTAATCATTTTTGTGGCTCCCTTCTGGATTTTCTTTTGGACCCGTTTAAGCCTTATCTAAATTTAACAGACAGGCTACAAAGGCAATTAGAAGAGATGGATCCATCAGAACCTGGGACTGTCCCTCATTTGGATCCGAGTCTTTCTCTTTCTAAGTGTGACATGGAGAAGGCTCAAGGCTTTCCCACTGACAAATGGGCTGGATGTGGGTCCTGCTTGCCCACAGGATGACTTCCAGGATCCTGGAAAGCCAGTTTCCATGGAAGCAGGAAGCAGGAGCCAAGCGGGAAGTCTTTCTCCAGTGGTTTCTGCAAGCAGGTCCATGGGGTGGAGATGGAGGGGTCTGTTGTTGGAGAGAAGTGGCGCAATCCAAATTCCGTGACCTCGAGGGCCTGGGCAGATTAAGGGCTCAGTGCGTGTTCCTGCGATGGTTATTATCAGCATCATCAGTATTCAATCAATTCAGGGCTTAATTTCGTGTGATTAGAATCCACTTACCCATCTCTGTGCCCAGGCTCAGAGGGAGCAGGCTGTGCTCAATGAATTTCCTGTTGAGTGAGAGGCAGACCCTCCATCCCCGCTCCTGGACGTGAGGCGTACCAGTTGGTCTCTGATAGCTTTTGAAGAGTCCCTAGGCCAGGCAGCCCTGCTGCTCTGTGTCCTGAGGCCTTATCTAACTGTCCCCTGAAAGCCATTTCTTATCTGACATCAAGCAGAGCCAAAGAACCAATCCCAGAAGCTGCAAAGCCATTGACTTGAGTTTTCAGCACTCAGTAGTGACCATGACGTGGCCATATTATGCAGCTGGTAAAATCATGGCCCAGACGGGAAGAGAGGGTGGGGCTGGAGCCAAGGGACTGAGGAACTTCCAGGGAGGAAGATTTTTGAGAGAAACAGAAAGAACAGGAAAAAAGAAGGTGGGGCTGGGCAGACAATGTGGCTTGTCATTGTGCAGAGACAAAAGCCGTCACTGCCGCTGGGTGCTGCAGGTCATTGTCCTCTTATGGTTCTAATCTTTCCTGCGCTGCATTCCCCCTTGCATGGTGTGGCTGCTACTTCCCAGGGACTCGCTTGACAGGGCTCAAACAGCAGGGATGGGTATTTGAGCAAGGATTAGTAAATATAGACATTCCTGTTTGGCTACCCTGTCAACAATTTCAAGGTGACACCCCCACCAGTCAGCAGCTAATTTGGTGAAGGAGATTATTGTTTTGTGCAAAAATCAAATGCAATCCTTTGGGGCTCTTCTTAGGTAGCAAACACGAAGCTCTGGTCTGAAGATCAATAAAGCAGAACCTACTCTTATTACACAGTAATAGTGCGCGAGCAGAAACCAGGGCAGGGGCGGATGTCACTCACCACCCATCCTGAAGACAGTCTGACTCTGGGGTAGGCAGTGCAGGATGGTTGCGCATGGGTGCTCAGCAACTCTTCTGTGGCTACAATTGGCTTTTGGCCTGCAAGTTGCAGAATCAAGAGTCCCTTCTGAAGCCCAACGAAGCCTGAGGCACTCAGGGCCTCTTCAGAAGAGCTACATCCAGCATCAAGTGCTTCAGGATGCTCACTGACCAGGCATTAGCAGAGTAAGTAGGTAACAATTAATAGAAGAAGGCAGCCGTGGTACTTCCGGGATGAATGAACTTGCCCAGTGCTACAGTTTGGACCTTGAGTTCCCTAAAGCCCATGTGCTAACGGCTTGCTTCCCAGAGTGGCACTATCACAGGCAATGGGACCTCAAGAGGTGGGGTTAGTGGGCGGTCCTCAGGTATTTGTGGCATGCCCTTGAAGGGGACAGTGAGCCCTGGTCCCTCCCTCTCTTTCCCACCTGCAGGGAGCTGAGTGGTTCAGCCATGATGTATGTGCTGCCTCACCACAGACCAGAACACCAGGCTCATCGTTCAGAAGCAGAATCCCCTGAACTGTGAGCCCCAAACCCTTTTCTCTATAAGCTGATTATCTCAAGTACTCGCTATAGTAAAAGAAAGCTGACTCACACACTAGGGTGCCAAATTCCCAGGACTCCCTGAAGCCAGGCCACTTGGTGGCTTTGGATTCAGTATGGGAAGAGCTGGGGACTTTGCATCACTTTCCCAGGGCTGCTGAAACAAGGTGTCACAAACGGTGTGGCTTAAAACAGTGGAAATTTATTCCCACAGTCGTGGGGGCAAAATGGCTGAAATCATGTCCTCTCATGTTGTGCCAGGGAGACACAACTTAACCCTTAAGAGACCTGGGAGCAGGGGCTTGAGAGCCAGAGGCACGGAGGAGCAAGGGTATGTGGTTCATGGTATGGTATGTGAGTATCCTGTGGCTGCTATAAAAAATGGCCACAAACTTGGTGGCCTATAGTTAGTCTCTTACAGTTCTGGAGGCCAAAACCAGTTTCAGCTGGTAAATGTCAAGGTGTCAGCAGGCTCCAGGGGAGAATACATTTGCTAGCTCTTCTAGGTTCTGGTGGCTCCTGACATTCCTTAGCCTATGGCCACATCCATCTGTGGTCACAGGACCTTCTCTTCTGTGCCAGACCTCCTTCTGCCTACCTCTTAGATACCTGTGATTGCATTTACTGTCCCCCAGATAACCCAGGATCACATCTTCGTCTCAAAATCATTATCTTGATCACATCTGCACGGTCTTGGACACATAAAGGAATATTTACATGTTCCAGGGATCAGGATTTGATATTGATGGGGGCCACTGTTTGATCTGCTATTGAAGGGCCTCACTAGTCGGTGGGGAGATAGTCACAAACCAAGGGCAGGTCCTCCCAGCAACAGAAGAGGCTCACTGCCCTGGGGGCCTCCACCAGAGGCTCAGGCAGGCTGTGGCAGTCTGCATCATGGATTGCTGTGCATGCTGCACTTTGGGAGGTGATGGCTAGGGCGGCAGGAGCAGTGAGACAGGGAGGAGAAGCAGTTGAGGAAGGGGTTGCTATTGGGCTTCATTCTCGTGGCAACTCGAGGAGGTGTAGAGAACGCCTCCCGCCTAGCTTCACCTGTGAGCCATCCAGCTGGGTCTGCATTGGCGGCTTGTCTGCCATTGGCTGGGATACTTCTGCAGCCGCCACAGGTGTTCCCAGTAAGCAGCCTCTGCAGGCAGAGCCAGTGTTGAGGGGATGCACACAGGCAGCTCTGCTCCAGGCGCCCGGGCAGCAGACCTCTGGACGCCACAAGGAAGCACAAGTAGGAGTGTGATGGAAGGAATCCGAAGGCTGGGCCCAAGGTGGATGAGCGCCGCCCAATCTCAGCAGGACTGAGTTCTCCCAGACCTGAGAGTTGGCGGGTGTGCCCTGCTGTCCCATATCTCCTTGTGTAGCTGGTTTCTGTTTGGATCCGCTTGTGCCTATGCTGTGACAGTTGCTAAATATTTTGCAAACACTTCATGTGGAGGTCAGTGTCTGGCTGGGTGGCTCTGAGGACTGAGTCAGAGATTCCATGTGACAGCTGTTTGCAATTTGTGAAGTCCTACGTGAAGGTTGTGGCTGCTTTGCTGCTAGAGCTGTTTGGCAATGAAAACTGATAGGGTGGAAGGAGTTGAGTCCTGCTCCTATGATTGGGGGCCTCCATGAGCAGAACCAGCATGTGACTTTGGCCAGAGGCTTTCTGGGGCAGAAGTACTGAGAAACTCTGTTGTCAACGACAGAAAGCTTGGAAGTTAAAAGTCCATGCGTCCTCTGGAGTCAGGCACTCCTGAGTTTAGGTCAAGCTCCAGGATCATCACTGACTGTTTAGTGGTCCTGGGCAGATCTCTGGGCCTCTCTGAACCTCAGTTTTCTCATCTGTTACCCGACATAATGCTTCCATCAGATACATGAAGAATACATGCAATGAGGGACAGAGCCAGGGCCAGGGCCACCTCTGTTTTGGTTAGTTGATTAAGTCTCCTTGTGTTTATGTCCAAGCCAGCCAGGTCTCTGTGGAATGTCCTGAGTGAGGCACATTGATAGATAAACAGCCATACAGGGTAGCATCCCTGAAAGCCACTGGCTTACCTTGAACACAGATTCTCAAGTCCAGTGCCTCGGTCCCCCTGGCTTTCAGGGTGCTCTCAGTTGAGCAGCCTGGTACAAGAGGCCCAGCTGGGAATCAGGCTCTCAGCCAGCGCCTCCACTCCCCGCAGGTGTGGTGAGGCCGCTTTACCTGACCGACAGCACTCTGCCTCAGTGAGAAACAAGAGCCACCTCTCAGGGCCACGGTAGAGCTCAGAGGATTTAATCAGGCAAAAGCATTATTTCAAGGGTGGCTTGTCACATGAGCTCAGTAAATATTAGCTGATACGACTGGTGGAATAGACGCTCCATGAGGACAAAGCCCCGGGCTGGCATTTCAACTCTGGTCCCCAAAAGGAGGCTCGGCAAAGAGCACGGAGACATGAACTGAACAAATGGAGGAATGAACGTGGCTTCCTGGAGGTGGGGTGGAGACCTGCACTTTTTGGCTCTCCCACATCACTATGAGATGCAGCCATGATTGAGAACCACTGGCACAAAATATTCAATTTATAGAGGGTGAAAGTATGGCCAGAGCAGTGAGGGACTCCCCCCAAGAGCTGTTGATGAAGTTACCAGATAGTCCTCCTGTCTGACACACATTCATCCCGTATTTGCAGTGTCACTGCTGCTATTGAAGCTACCGTTTCTACCAAAAAGAATAAGGCACTGCCCCGCCCTTGATAGGCCTGTGGTTCTCTAGAGGTTCAGATGTATGAGAGGTTCAGCTGTGTGGCGTTGTGCCATGGCCTGGCACCCATGGTGGTTGGAGGAAGGAGGATGAGGAGCATGGATTCTCCCCAAGGTCCAGGAGACTAGCCAGGAGATTTGCATATAGGACAATTCAGGACAGAGAAGTCCAGAGGTTCTCAGGCAGCTAAGGGTGCAGAATGATAGAAAGCACAGGGGCACAGATGCAGGAGAGGTCACAGATTTGTGCCTCATGCAGTGAGGTGGGGTGGAGGGCGGACCCCTGCCATGGTCATCTAGATGGGAGGAGGGCACCCCAGGAGGAAGTAGCAGCAAAGAGATGAATAAGTTGAGGAGTTGAACTAGGAAACACGTGAATGAAGAGGGAGTGGCCAGAAATGCAGTGTGACAGACAGACCAGGGTCACATGCTGCTCTTTGTTGGCCATGGAAGGAGTTCAGAATTTATTCTAAGTACAATAAAAGCCCTTGGAAGTTGTAAGCAGGAAGCATTCAGGAGTTAAGCTTCAGGGTCAGTCTTGTTACTTTGATGGAGCAGAGTACGTCTGCAGCGAGGAGAGCCATGGGGAGTGATCTGCCACCCAGGGCGAGCCAGGGAGGCAGCATGAGACCACGCAGTGGAGATGCATGGAGACGCATGTGTAGCGTGCCCAGGTGAGAGTAGTTGGGGTGTGCCTCCGGTTGGGACCCCACTCGCAGGGGAGCACATTGGGAGGCAGGGACATGGAGCCAAGGAAGACTTTTGCTTGGGGTTTGCAGGGTATCTCTGGAATAAGACATTTCCCAGCGTTATTTCAACTAAGTACAATGGGAAGTTTGGGATATATTTTCATCAGGACCTTCTCAACTTTAAGGATTTAATGTCCACCCAAAAACGGGAAATTCACAGTTTGCTTAACTGGAAAAATCCAGAGAGCCACACTTTAAGAACAACTAAATATAGGGGCTTGGGTATTGCCAGTTCGAATCCCCCCCTACCCCCAGGCTATTTCTAATTTGGCGACTCCACTCTCCTCAGCCTCTCCCCATAAGGTACCAGCTGCTGGTGGGCCCAGATTTGCCAGTCCATGGTTTTCCAACCCCAGCAGAAAGAGAGCTGCTGCCCTGCACCAAGCCTCCCAGAGGGCTGACAGTGACTCACCCTGCTTGAGTCCTGTGAGCA